AAATTTGCGGCGAGAACACATTGAACCCAACCTCCAGCACAAACCCCGGACTTTCTTACTCCGGTACCTTGAAAACACGTTGCTCCGGAGGTGTCGAAGGCATATCCGATGAAACGCATGGGGTTCGTGCCAAGTCTCCAGTAAATCAACGGCACTCAATATGCCGTTGTCCCTGTCGGAAAGAAGACATATTGGTGTGTCGGGGACAACATGATGGCGCAGATGTGTTAGGAAAAAGGACCAGCTAGCCGTGCTTTCTTCGTCCACAATCGTATACGCGACTGGCAATAGACGCGTATTCGCGGTCTGGGCTATGGTAACAAGCAGCTTCCCCTTGTACGAACCTGCTCAGTTGGACATATATTTTTTTATCAGACACTATTGTAAATTAGAAAATTAAAAATTCATTTGCAAGTAACAAGTAGATTTCCCTTGTACGAACCTCGCAGGTGCGTGCCGTCGATGCTAATAATCGACGGGCAAAGAAGGAAGGTTTGAATGGCGGGGCCGAACGCCCAGAAGACAAATCTGAATTCTCTATCTCGAGATTGCTTCGCCATTTCCCCACCCTGCCATTCCCACTCAACGATTGTACCGGGATTTTCCCTTCGAAGGGCGGCGAAAAACCTGCAAATTATAAAAGGTAATCATAAATAAATAAATAAATAAGGTAGTTAAAAACAACACGTCAATACATTTATAATTAATTTTTGCTTACTGGGAGAGTTGTGCGAAGTTCGATTCCCACGTGCCATACAGACGATCGATGGCTTTTTTTCTCCCGTGCCACGCCTTCTTGTAGCTGACATCGACGCTCCATGCGCTTTTTACGTCAGCTTGGACCATTTCTACACTGTATGTCACCTGCTTCTGGATCTTGTCAACAGAAGATTTGAGATCATGGTTGCGGTCACATTCTTGTGGTCATTTCTCTCGAACACCTGCATGCAAGTGTGGCTATCGGTCCATTCGGTTACCTCCCACATGTCGTGATCCCATTTGTTATGACTCACCCGAGCCTTCCATATATATGGTACAACTTCAGCTGATCTGCACACAACTTTGAACGACTTCTTGTTGGAATCTTTTGTCCGGACCGCCCTAAGATTCTCAACATTCCAGGCTAGAATACCAGTCCGGGCTTCTTCCTTGGTACGAAAAACTGTACCCAAACGGATAGTCTCGACATGCCCATCCCAGACTGGCAAGGCATACTCGTCCCTGTCTACACACGACGAGTCCCACTCACCCATCTCGCGATATACGTGGAGGCCTTCATTTGGAAAGGGGTGTTCTTCAATGAATTCTTGTTCGCTCTCTTCATTAATTGATCTGTCCGATTCGGTTTCCGAGGTCTCATCAGTGAAATCGTCTTCCCCAGGACTGAAATCTTCATCTCCAGCAATTTCTTCCTCAATGTCCAGTCCTCTCATGGTAAAGCTCGTCCCTTCGCCGAAATTACTCATCCCTTCGCCGAAATTACTCGTCCCTTCACCAAAATTACCGGCATGCGTAGTCCACGTACCTTCACCACCAAACACTCCCCCGTAACCATATGATGGCGTAGGATCCTCAACCTGTGTAACCTGTGTGTTTGCTTCCAACACTATATACAAAAACACATAGGACATAGGAGTAAAGTAGTAAATCCATGAAAGAGCACTATCATTATTCAGTCTTCCGGGAATAAACGAACCATCCGGTTGTCTGGCCATTAAAGTAATATCCGAAATTGTCCAAGTATCACGAAACCCACCATTTTCGTTAATCATATCTACCAATTGTTCATATGATATTATTCCATTAATAACAAATGAACAATCCGGACGAGACATATAAATCGAAAAATTCCATAACTCACTCTGAGGAATTTTCCAGTACACATTAACAAAGTAGGGACCGTTAGACGCCATTTATAACAAGTTGCACAAAAAAAAATTCTATTTTACAAATTACAACAACACATAATGGCTAATCAAACACCCGAGAAAATTTCAATTATTATTTTACCAATCTAAATTTAAAACTCATTTCCAACAACAACATATGATTAATCATATTTTTACTCCAACAAAAAAAAATTGTTAATTAATTTATCAAAAACACCACCAAAACCCTAATCACCATAATCCAACAATAACATCAAATTCATAAACAATTCGGATAAATATTCAACATACATTAAACCAACATTCAGGATTTTCTAAACAATAGCAAATAACAAATTATAATCATTTAACGCAACTATTAAACCAACATTCAAGATTTTCTAAACAATACTCAATTAACGAAATATATCTCTTAAACATTCATAAACAACAAAAAAATAATATTACATTATATTAAAATAATAACTAACCTCTTCTCCGACGATTAGTTGAATTTTTTTTTTTTAATAGAGCTTGAACTCGCCAAAAATCGAACAAAAGACACAAGATTATGTTTATGAAGATAAGAAGAAGAAACGCAGAATGTGTGCTCTGGGAAGGATTCCGCAGATCTTTATATCAAGCAAAAAACGGATTTTTGAAATCCGTTTTAATCGATTTTTTTTTTTTAATTTTTTTATAAAAAACGGATTGTGAAAATCCGTGTTGTACGGTAGATCTTATATCCGCCGTTTTAAATCCGACCGTTTTCTATTTTTTTAAAAAAATAAATAAAAAAGAAAAACGGATTATGGGAATCCGTTTTTCTAATAATTTTTATTAGAAAAACGGATTTTCATAATCCGGTCGTTTTATTGTTTTCTACAATTTTTTTTATTTTATTTTTTGCCACATATTTTTTTTTTTAAAATAAATAAACCACACTTTATGGAAGACTAAAATGCACTACACTTTAATTATCAGAGGTACTTGTGTGGTGTATAATTATTCCAACTGTTTTTATTGGTCCCAGCCATATTTTATAGTTCTACTTATGTGAAATATTTATGTGTTATCAATCCAAATTAGACTATCCAAGATATCAGGAATTTTGTCCCCCGGATATGGAATATTGTAATTACTCGAATAAATGCTGGTGAATTTGAATTATACAAGATCAATAAAACCCCATTTTTAGGTTCAACATGCTAAAATCTTTTATGAATACGATTAAAAGATCAATTACTTTACAACTTTTGTTATTTACAAAATATTATTAGTTCGCCAATTAACTTGAGCTTCGTAGTAGTTACGTTGGGACCCGACTTCGACGTTCTTTTGCAGATTGATATGGATTTTTGACTTGAGGCAAAATAATTCGATTAGAAATTTTGATAGGCCGGTCATCCAGCCACACTACTTTATAACAAATTAAATCATGAACCTATTATGTAATTTTTTAACACATTAAATTGCGAAAACTTTANTTGAAAAAAAAAAAGAAAAAAAAAAACAAGCTAGTGGATTGTTTTCTACTTTTGGGCAACTATATGAGCATTTTTTTTAGCTAGCTTGTGGCTTGTTTTCCTATTTTGGGCATATGATGATTTGTGTTTTATTAGTTAATGGGTATTTTATAGAATCGCAAAGCTGAAAGACAAATTTGTTCTAAATTACTAGACATATTTATGTGCAATTTAGCCCAAGGTAATTGTTAGTTTTGAGTCAAACATACAATTCTAGTTTTGTGTAATATTTGAATTGAATTGTAGTTCAAGATATAGCCAATCTGACTGGTGGCTCTAATTTCACCATTTTTTCTTTGTCGTGCTCGTCGTTCTTGCTTCTACTGCCTTTTTATTTTGTACCAATCAATTATATTATTACATCATAACTTGGAAAACTATTATTTTTGCACGTGTTTTGTGAATTTGACGAATCAAATTCTCTTGCACCATTTATTCACAATTTGATCTCATACTTCAAGCATACGCTATACTGATATTTTGTTTAGCTTTTTAAGAAAACATATATCTCGTTAGAATATCACTTGTGAGTTGTCTCACATTGTTTATACAACGGAAATAAGCCTAACAATTAGTTTTAGGATGAAACCTCACTATGACCCATTAAGGCTCACCCTCTTATGATGTGTTCCACGTGCGTGAGACTGCACTCTTTCGCCCCCGTTCTTTACATGGTATTAGAGCCGGTTCTAGGTGAGACCGTGCGATGACGTACCCGTCACACAGTGTTAGAATATCACTTGTTACGTGGGACTGTGCGATGACGTACCTGTCACCCAATGCTAGAACGTACCCGTCACCCAGTGTTAGAATATCACTTATTACGTGGGATCGTGTCCGTCACCCAATGCTAGAACGTAACCGTCACCCATTGTTAGAGTATCACTTGTTACGTGGAATCGTGCGATGACATACCCGTCACCCAATGTTAGAATATCGCTTGTTAGTTGTCGTATATCCTTTATTCAGAGTACATAGACCTAACTTATAAGCCCAGTGGGCTACTCTTACTACTAGTTTTGGGATGAAACCCCACTAAGGCCCATCAAAGCTAACCCTAACTTATAAGCCTAGTGGGCTCCTCCTCCTTTCACCAATTGGATGTGAGTTGTCTCACATCGTTTATACAGGAAAAATAGGCCTGATTTATAAGTCTAGTGGGCGCCTCCTCCTTTCACCAATTGGTTTTAGGATGGAATCTCACTATGACCCATCAAAACCACCCTGTTATGGCACGCTTCACGTGCGTAGGACCGTCCAGAGGACGGATTTGGCTTTAGTTTAATGGACTGAAATTCAGGCCTGTTATTAATTTTTTTAACAACTATATGTTTAAAAAAAAGAGAAAATTACTCCGTCCACCAACAATATTACTTTTATTTGCACATATACTAACATTATTTTTTATTTATAATTATACCTATAACCTAATTTTTATTTGTACTTATCCAATTCCCTAACTAAATACTACTCGAACTATGAATGAAAAAAAAAAAAGTCGTCTGCCTTCTCCCTTGAGAATATCCAGAACTTCTCCATCTTCGACTAATTCCTCTCTGCCTCCACTCGTCTAATTCTTCTCCGTCTCCACCATCTCACACCAGCAATGGCGAAATTGGGCGAAGGCGACAAACGGTGGATCGTGGAAGACCGCATCGATGGGAACTCAGTGGTTCTGTCACCGACGGAACCGATCGCCTCGAGTGGCCAAGGATTCCGATGGAAACTCAGTGGTTATGTCCACTGACGGCTCCGTTTAGTTGTCCTATATTTCCGACGAGAACGCAGGTGAAGATCCCGAAATTCGAATCACAATCAAAGATGACGGGCCGATCGATAAGAGATTTAAAGAAACGTTTATCTCTAAGGGGTTTGTCTTTGAAAAACTCAAGCAGTACGTCGAGGCAATGGCGAGAGGCGAGCCGACCAAAGAGGATTTGGATGTAAAGGTCGCCACAATAAATAAACCAGTCCCTGGATCTGGTGCGACAAGATTGGTTTATCTCCTATGTATATCTTATGTATATGTTCTGTATATAATGACAAACTTGGTTTATCTTCTGTGTATATCTTTTGTATATGTTCGGTATATTTTCGGTATATAATGACTAGATTGGTTTATCTTATATATCTTCTGTGTATATTTTCTGTATATCTTCTGCATATTTAAATTGATTGGATCGAATCCAAGACCCGGATTAAGACCCGAAACTGCGGCCATGACCATCGAGCGTCCGTCGGATCTTGATGAGCAGTACCCTATTCAGCGACCTCCAGCCCTTGCTCTCAGCCCGAATCTCATCGATTGTAGCCGGGCGCGGCTCAGATCGGCAGCGAGCCCGTCGAGGGGCCGAAAGCGTAGCCCAAAGCTCATCGACGAAACTGATGTTTATCAGTTTTTTTTTCTCAGTTATGGAGAGAAGCATAACGCATGTTTTTCTTTTTTTATTAATGAAGGAACCTGAATTCCGTTAGTTACGGGAGTATTGATAGACTAAGTTTCTTTTCTTTCTTTTTTTTTTTTTTTTTTTTGTTTGATGCCCCGTATTTAATTACCTATTAATAATCTAAACTAAATGTATAGCTTTACTCGTGTACATGTGCAATAAAGTTTTTGCATCTAGTATTCTTGCAATATTTTAACAACGATCCCAGTACGAATGTAAATTACCCTAAAAAAAATGTATTGTATTTCTAGCTGAGCCCAATAAACCAACTCATTATCCCATTCACTTATTGATTTAAGTCCAAAGACTACAAACACCACTCTAATAAAATATTATATATTATTGATCCACCTTTTTCACTAGGCACTAAACTACAAAACACCACTATACATTAAAACTCCAATCAAATAAATTACTCATGGCCATGGACGGATTCACCTAAGGCCTGGGCAGGGCTGAAGCTCAGGCCTGTTATTTTTTTTTAACATTTTTTTTTTTTTTTAACAACTATAAGTTTAAGAAGATTTTATTGTGCTTTTAGCCCAGCCCAATAAATCAACTTACTAACCCACTAAAATAATCACTTATCTATTCAAATTCAAAGACTACAAACACTATGTTAATAAAATATTATATATTAAGAATTCACTCTTTCCACTAGGCACTAACCCACAAAACACCACTATACACCAAAATCCAATCATATAAGTCAGTTGTGGCCATGTCCCTCCTCTGAACACCACAACAATGAATTTAGAGGAAAAAAACTATTAAACAAGAAAGAGACTACTTTCAAAAGAATGACTTATTTTCTTCTTTAATATTAAGTTATATTTATAAACCCCTATTAGATATTTGCTTCATTGTCTAATTGTCTTTATTTATCTTTTCATTTTAGTTGAACTATTTTGAGTTTTAATAGTAATTGCTAGGATCATTTGGTTGCAATTCTAGTTTGTTGATTGTGTATGAGAGAGTGTGTGTGTGTGTGTGTGTGTGTGTGTGTGTTTTCATCTTTTATCATCTAGTGTGATTGTTGTATATCATAGTTGGACTTAAAGTTATGATGTGTAAGCATTTCATTTTGTTAATAACTAGCCATATGAAAATCACTTTATTGGTATTGTGGAATTTTTAGAAATTCATATGGAGCACTAACCTTCGACCTAGAAAGAAAATACCTATTGATATCATCGTTCTTTAGAAAACGAGATCGTCAAACTAATGAAAGCACATCAAATACAGTACAAAATGAACATAATAAATTTTATTCTGTTTAAAGCTCGTCGAGCACAACTTCGGTGAATATTTGAAGAAAAAAATATTATGTGATTTTTATGAAAATAAGTTTTTAAATTAATCTATCACAGTTTACTCTTAATTTCTGGATCCGTCCCTGCCCACGGCCATGCTCCTCTTCTGAACATCAAAACAATGAATTTAGAAGAACAAAAAAAAAAAAAAATAAACTATTTAACAAGAAAGAGACTACTTCAAAGAAGACGATTTAATTTTTTCTTTAATAATAAGTTATATTTTTAAACTCCTTAGATATCTGTTTCATTTGTCTAATTGTCTTTACCTATCTTCTCACTTTAGATTAGCTATTTAGGATTTTAACAGTAACTGCTAGGATCATTTAGTTGCAATTTTTGTTTTGTTGATTGTGTATAAAGTAGTAATTGTGTGTGTGTGTGTGTATTTTTTTTAATCTCTTATCCTCTAGTCTGGTTGTTGTATATCATATTTGGATTTAAATTTACAATGTGTAGCTATTTCATTTCGCTAATAACTATAGAATACTTATTTATTTGCATTGTGTAATCTTTAGAAATTTAATTACATGAAGCACCAACATTGGTTCAAGAAAGGAACACCCATTTATAAATTTTATTTGTAAAACTCATCGAGCACAATTTCAGTGAATATTTAAAGAAATATGTGACTTTTATTAAAATAAGTTTTTAAAATTCTAGCTCAATCTTCTAAATTTTTGGATCTATTCCTGGTGGGACCGCACCCGTTTTCCTCGATTCTTACAAGGCTCATTATATTTTATATCAAATTTATATTTATCATTTATATAAAAAAAATAAAAAAACATAAATATTGATTAATTGGTTCATGCATTTAAACTGTAAAAAACACAAGTCGGCAACGTCTGATTTGGTCTGATTGAAATTACAACTTGGCCAATCAGTCACGAGATGGTGTGTAATAAGAGTAAAAACAAAGGACAAAACATAAATTTTTGTAAGTTCATTTCGTCATCTATAATAGTCTATATTAATTAATTATAAAATACCATAACTTTTTCATTACCTAACACTGATTTCGAAAGCTATTTGAGCCTAATCTTGGTCAACTTTGTGTAATAAATCAGTTTTATGTCAATTTGTTTATAACTTTTCAAGCCAATTATGCACGCCACCATAATATATAAAGGGTATATTATATTCTTTTTAAATTTGTTAATTTACTTCGAACTAGAGAATGCATGGATTTTAATTTTCGTTTTTGGGTTTTCACTTCCTTTTACTTATTCCATACGTCATTTTTATTATTATTTTTTTCTCATTGAATCATATGTCATATAATTTTTTCCCCAAGTACATGGCTCATTTGACGTAGGGAAAAATTCAAAATTAGTCCCACAGATATAGGGGGTGACAATTTTGGTCCCAACAGAATGCACAAAATATGAATAGTCCCACAACTTTTAAAAAATGATCAAAAGTAGGACTTTTTCGTCGGATTTACTATTTCCAGCTTGGAACACCACGTGGCGCACACGTGGCTTATTTTTTACACGCTGGCGCACACGTGGCTTAGTTTTGAATTTTTTCCTAGATAGGGAATAATTCAAAACTAGTCCCACAAGTATAGAGGAGTGACATTTTTTGTCCCGGTGGAATGCAGAAAATTCAAAACTAGTCCCACAACTTGTAAAAAAATATGAACACGTCGGATGCCACGTGGCGTTCCGGGCCGGAAATAGTAAATCCGGCGAAAAAGTTCTACTTTTGATCATTTTTTAAAAGTTGTGGGACTATTTATATTTTCTGCATTCCGTCGAGACCAAAATTGTCACCCCCTATACTTGTGGGACTAGTTTTGAAATTTTCCATTTGGCGTATGGTGTGGGCAAACAAAAAATAGAAAAAGGAAAGACAAACACGTTTATTATGAGAAATAAGGTTATCATTATAATAACTAATCAAAGTCAGACCAGAAGCCCATTGACTCACAACTCTTAACCTACTCCTAAATTTTTCGAGCGAGTAAAAACTCCAAATTTGCTTGCTCTTCGAGTGAATGACGATTCATAAAACTATTCATTTCATAATTCTTTATCCTTCAAATGACCCAAAAAACTTACTTATTTACAGCCAATTAAGGCTCAAAACCATACCTAATACTTAGTACCAAGTAATACAAATCTAATCAATAATATAATAAAAAAATCAAATAATAATTTGTATCAAAAATTCATGTGAGACATAGCATAACTGTTATGCATAGGTCAACCCGTTATAGTCAGCGAATAAAAATACATATTTATACTATAAAATGTTATACAATATGTTTATGTTATTTTTTTAGTATGATATTTTGTAAAGAAAATAGTGATAATGGTTAGGTCGAACTAACAAAGTTTCTGGTATTATAGATCAATGATTAATTCTTTCTATAAGGTGAATCCAACTCATTAAAAACATGAAAAATAAAAACATTGATATATACATACAATAATTAAATTTTATAATGAAAATCAACAATAATGAGGTGTCAGTTTATAATCACTTATTGAGCAATAAATGTACACGGCCACAGCTATATAAGGGCCTCACTGGCCAAACAATTACTATCCAAGTTTCAATTATTGAGTTAAAATAATCCCTCAACTCCTTTTCTACATCTCCCCTGCCAAGAGTAGAAAGCAGCTTCCCTTTCTTTAATCTTTAATAATCAGCAGATAAAAATGGCTCCACTTCCCGAAACAAAACGAGAGGCCGACGAGACTCTCCTCGATGCATGGGACTATAAGGGCCGACGGGCCCGCAAATCCTCCTCCGGCGGCTGGACTAGCGCCGCCATGATTCTCGGTAAATTTTACTCAATTACTTGCGTCGTAAGTTTCGAGTAGTTCGTTAGCGCCTAATTTTCGTAATATTTATCGTGGTGTATAGGTGTTGAGGCTTGTGAGAGGCTAACGACCCTCGGGATAGCCGTGAACCTCGTGACGTACCTGACCGGGACCATGCATTTGGGCAGCGCCACATCAGCGAACAACGTCACGAACTTCCTCGGCACGTCGTTCATGTTGTGCTTGCTCGGGGGATTCCTCGCCGACACTTATCTCGGGCGGTAAAAAATTAAGGCTTCTCGATATAATCGATACAGTGCCCTGGTTTTATAGAAATGCAAAGACGAAATATAGTCAAATTTTATGCAAGTATGAATAATAGTCATTTTGTCATGTGCAATGACACAATTACCCTTACTATTTATGAATAATAGTCATTTTGTCATGTGCAATGACATAATTACCCTTACTATTCTTAGAAATCTAGGATTTCAGACAAGTATGAATAATATTGTCATGTGTAATGACACAATTACTCTTACTATTCTTAAAAATCTAGGAATTGAGAAATGGTTTCTAGACAGTTAACTTCTCGATCGTTTTTCCTTCTTCTTTTTTCTCGTGCAGGTACTTAACCGCCGGCATATTCGCCACCGTTCAAGCCACGGTAAGCGCATGAAATTTCCGAAATCGCAATACATCAAATCCTATTCTCGACATAACTTTCACAAATTTTATCTTGACGCGCTTTAGGGTGTCACGATACTAACGGTCTCGACAATAATCCCGAGCCTCCGGCCGCCCAAATGCGGCGGCGGCGAAGGATATCCCTGCATTCCGGCCAACGGCCGACAGCTCGGCGTCCTCTACACGGGCCTATACCTAACGGCCCTCGGGACCGGAGGCATAAAGTCGAGCGTCTCGGGATTCGGGTCAGACCAATTTGACGAGTCTGACGCAACCGAGCGCAAGCAGATGGTAAAGTTTTTCAATTGGTTCTATTTCGGGATAAACATCGGCTCACTGGGGGCCGTGACCGTGCTCGTCTACATCCAAGACAATCTCGGACGCGAGTGGGGTTACGGGATATGCACGTGTGCTATCGTTTGTGGTCTTGTGCTCTTTCTATCCGGCACAAGGAGGTATCGGTTCAAGGAGCTTTCCGGCAGCCCGCTGACTCAGATTGCCGCCGTCTTCGTGGCAGCGTGGAGGAACCGCCGCCTTGATTTGCCGTCCGACCCGTCCCTACTTTACGACGTGGATGATGACGTGGCCGGGAAGAGGAAGCTGAGGTTGCCACACAGCAAGGATTTCCGGTGAGTGGACAGATATTATTGTTGTTGATTAATTAATTTCCTTATGTTTTGGGGCATGTTAGCTTCCTTAACGGAAGTACCTGTCAGTCGTTGTGGATATTTTAATTTGCGATTCTTGAACTAAATTAATCCTTTTAATTAATATGGACCAGATAAAGATTTCATCTATCTTGGAACGTTGTGTAGCATTATTTTGCATAATTTGAGTGATACATGCATTATTTAGGTGGTGACAAACTGAAAGAAAATGGGACCAGTTTTTGGTCCGACACAAGGGAACTTACCACGATGTTTGTGGTCCATATCCAATTTTATATATCACACGTTATTCAAGTTGGATTGTATTTAGATATTTTGGAGCCATAATTCATTTGTTTGTGCCACGTAGGGGAGTTAAATAAGGAATTATTTACCACCGACCATATAAAAGTGTTACACTCTTTGTTGCAGGACGCGTTTCGATATTAACATGTTGATGTAAAATTAATGGATTCGATGTCTTTTATAAGTTTGATCGTTAATTAAATTGTTTGGTAAAAAAAAGCTTACTTGATTTTTTTTTTGGTCCTAAAACTCTATTTATGGAAAAAAAAATCAACATATGAGCGTTTTGGCTATTAATAATTCACAAAATAACATAATGTAACATTTTCAAAATAGCTATACTAATTTATTAAATACTCATTTATAAACTGTTAATATAAACTGCTTAATTGACTTGTTGCACTTTCAGCTTTCTGGACAGGGCAGCAATCAAGGACCCTCTACAGAAACCCGACAAGTCGAACAAGTGGCACCTCTCGACCCTGACCGACGTGGAGGAGGTGAAGCTCGTGATCCGCATGCTCCCGACATGGGCCACCACCATCATGTTCTGGACCGTCTACGCTCAGATGACCACCTTCTCCGTCTCCCAAGCCACCACAATGGACCGCCACATCGGCTCGAGCTTCGAGATCCCAGGCGCATCCCTCACCGCCTTCTTCGTCCTCGCCATCCTCCTCACCGTCCCCATTTACGACCGCCTCATATTCCCCGTCTGTCGCCACCTAGTCAACAACCCCCACGGCCTCACCCCCCTGCAGCGCATCGGGGTTGGCCTCGTCCTCTCCATACTAGCCATGGCCGCGGCCGCCCTAACTGAGGTGAAGCGTCTACGCGTCGCGCGGGCCCACGGGTTGACCCACGACCCGACGGCGACCGTGCCCATGACCGTCTTCTGGCTGGTCCCGCAGTTTTTGCTGGTGGGGTCGGGGGAGGCGTTCACGTACGTGGGTCAGCTGGACTTCTTCCTCCGGGAGTGCCCGCGGGGGATGAAGACCATGAGCACGGGGCTTTTCCTGAGCACGCTCTCGCTCGGGTTTTTCGTAAGCTCGGTGCTGGTGACGATCGTGCACAGGGTGACGAGCAGGGAGGCGCCGTGGCTGGCGGACAATCTCAACGAGGGGAGGCTTTACGATTTCTATTGGTTACTGATGGCGTTGAGCGCATTTAATCTTGTGGTGTTTGTGTGTTGCGCAAAGCGGTACGTGTACAAGGAGAATAGGCTGGCGGACGAGGGGGTCGAGATGGAGGAGGAGATCGTCTACCATTGAGTTGCGCGGTGTGTTTGTTGATGATAGGATTTGATTGATGGATGGATGAATGTATGTACAAAGTGGATATATGGAGAGGATCATTAGCATGGAAGAAGAGTAACTACTTTTTTCTTTTTCTTTTTTTTTCTTTTTTTTCCCTTGTTGTATCCTAAATTGCAAAAGCAATGATGGAAGTTGTTTGGATAATAAGTTTTCGAAATAAAACTCATATCAATCTTTGTAACATTCTATTTTTCATATAAAAACTGAACAATAAAATATTCGCAATGCAGATATCTTATAAAAAAAAATGCAAAACTTTATATTTTGGTAGATCTTATTGTAATCGACGGATTTGAACTGAAATACTATAAATCGGTAACGATTTTCTAAAATCCGGTCGATTTGGCTATTTATTAAAAAGAAAATATATATGTTTTCCAAATCTGTTAATATTGATAGATCTTATTGTAATCAACCGATTTGAACCGAAATACTATTACTCAGTAAGTTAGTTTTGAAAAATCTGATCAATTTTGCTCTTTCGATCTCTCTCTCGCCTAAAAACTAAAATTTTAGGTGTTTTTTTTAATGGATTTCAGTTGTTCAACCGAACAAATCGTTGGTAAAACATTAATTTTTCCTTTATTCTCGACGAAAAATCTTTTAAAAAAAGCTGAGAAATACGGTTTGAAACGGAAGAAAGAAAGATAGAGGGAGATGGAGAGAGAGAGAGAGGCAGCGATAAAACTCGAGAGAGAAGTGACGAAGATTTGTCAAAAAATATTAGGTTTCATGTTAATTTTATACCGCATTACTCTGACACATAAGTACAATACGTGTTTATTTTATATTTCAGTGTCACATATTACAACGCATAAGTTCAAACTCACTCCATAAACATAACCTCATCGGGCATGAAACCTCCAAATTGGGCTGGATAAAACTTTAAATACTGGCCCAATTTTTATTTATCTATTTATTATTTATTTTTAAATGCAGCGATTTTTAATTGTCCAAACATTGTGCTTTTAAAAGTTTGGGCTCACATGTTTTAAATAAATGGCAGAAAAAAAATTTAAGGTAATATATAGTACAAACAATTATATTTTTGTAATAAAATTGACCTCCTTGACCTCAAACTATTTGTAGTACAAAAATTATTCATTTACACAAGTAAAATCATTACATGTATAAGTTTAGTACACATAACAGCGATTGTTATATTACAAAATTTCATGTTTTTGTGTTTTCTCTATTTAATTTTATCACACGTTTTTAAAATAGTAAGTTTGACCTTACGGAAAAGGTAGATATTGTATTCGAAATATTATAAATTAAATTATAGTGCATAATTTAATTATTTATTATTGTAGTTAATTACATTATCGGATGTGTCTACGGTAACACCTTCGTTCCAAATACCGAATTCTATCATTCAAGAAACTGGTATATTTTTTTNAAAACTGGTATATTTTTTTTTTTTTTTGTATATTTTATAACATTATTAAAATCATTGAATTATAACAAATATTGTTATTTTTATGTATTTTTTATATTGACTATTAGTTAATTTTTAATGTTAGGTGTTCTTTCTGGAATTATCAACGTTCGTCTCAATATAGTTCAATAACTCACATCACAAATGCTTATTAAAGTAGTTTACGGCCTTTAATTGATCTTACAAAGAACAATGATGAAAATGCACCGTCGACATCTATACTTATATAAAAAGCTATCCTATTTACTAGAAATAGTAGGCAGAAAAGTCAAAGGTAATTAATGCTTGCTGAAATGGAATGACATTAATTACAGATTTGTTTTAGTATTTATAGGTTTGACATAAGATTTGTTATGTGATAAATATCATAACCGATTTTTTTACTTTTGTTAGAAAAGTCAAAGGTAAGTATAGATTTGTTTATATTATCAAATCATAAAAAGATATTAAATCTATATTGTAAAAAGAATAATTCATATAATTTTATAACAATTCTACTACATTATTTAACAATATTCCTTTTTATTATATAATAAAATAATAATTAAATATTATAGTGTGAACAACAATAAGTAAAACTGTTACTTTCTCTTATATCAAGGGATAAATTTATATGCTTAAATTAAATTCTTATTACTATAAATGTTTTAGTGAGATAATATATTAATTATTTTACAAGTTACCCCTAACATGTCATATTTAATGTTCTGGCTAAAAAAACAACGCTGGTTAAAAGATGTGGAAAAAAACTTATAATAACCCTATTGTTTTTTAGACTTAACGTTGATTAAAAGAGGTAAAAAATAGATAATAACCCTATTATTTTTTAGACTTAAACGGACACGGCTGTGAAAATAACGCATTTAATATCTTTGTTCCGTGCATCGCACGGGGTAGGTACTAGTCGTTGTTAAACAACGTTCGCAATGATAATTCTAAATTTATTATCAAAATGTCAAATTTCTTTTTGCGGTAGCAAATTTGTTTTTCATTTATTGTTTTATAATAATATTTTTTTTCAGTTCCATCATTAAACTTGCCGCTTCGATATGTAGGTGGTCGTCCCATGCTTGCACTACCTCTCCTCACAAATGGTAACTCTAAATTATTTATCTTTTTGTTTAATTTATCTTTTTGGACGTTAAAAGAATTTTTAAATTTAGTTTTTCTATATTTAGAAGATATTTTTTGTTATTTTTTTAATAATAATTTTATTATGTACAGTTTCATCATTAAATTTAGCTCCTCGAAAAAACGTAATTGGTCGTCCGAGGCGTCCATCACTATTGTTTATAATTTTTATTATTTTTTCCTCTATCATATTATTTTTCGTGTAAATGTACGGGATGACACTAATTAATATANAACGAAATAACTACAAATTCACGCTATTTGCCAATATATAGCAACCCGTTAATTTAATCCATTAGTCGGATCAAATAATTCCATTCGCTACCCATGATACAGCTCATTTTTCGGTTTGTAAGGCGAACAAGGCCACGTGTCTTTATGATTCTCAAAAGATTCTAAACCTTTATGGGCTGAACAATGTTCGTGTACACAGATCCTGGGCCTTCAAACTAATGGTTCAAACAAACTTTGGCCTGGGCCAGGCCAAGTGCCACCTCTACTGGGGTCCTGGGCCTTCAAACTAATGGTTCAAACAAACTTTGGCTTGGGCCAGGCCAAGTGCCACCTCTACTGGTCTATATTTTCATGCTATAAATAAATTAATTTGAGTATTTGAGCTCTTTATATATGGTGATCTGCAGTCCATAGTTGATCCATGTGCAGCAGCATAAGAAATCTTTGAAGCGTATAACCACCACATGCTTTCTGATTTATAATGTCATACACGCAGCATCTGGTTGGATCTCTGTCTGTCTTACATATCATGCTAAATAATTTATTAATGATATCATATTATCATTGNACAATCATGAAACTGTTTGTCTAACATTGTACAGTCATTTTGCTCCACTAACATTCCATGCTTACAATTTGTTGCAATAACTTAGATCTCTGTCTCTCTTACATATAATGCTAAATAATTTATTAATAATATCATTAGAATATTCACAACATTCCATGCTTACAATTTGTTGCAATAACTTAGATCTCTGTCTCTCTTACATATAATGCTAAATAATTTATTAATAATATCATTAGAATATTCACTTGTAAGTTATCCCACATCGTTTATATAGATAAAAATAGGTTTAATTTATAAGTCTAATGAGCTACTCCTCTTTCTACCATTTAGTTTTGGAATAGAAACTCACTTAGGCTTCATACGTGAGACCGTTTGCCTCGTGTTTTTTTTCCTAAAATAGTACTTGAAGTGGAGAGAGATAGAACAACACGATAGAAAAATAAAAATAAAAGAAAATATGTTGCACCTTATAGAAAAATTAGAACAATTGAAAATCCAATCTGTAACAACAAATTGGATTTGCAAACAGGAAAAATTTGTAGCAAAAAATTTCCCGTGTATTAAACTTATAAAACATGAAATAATTTTACAAATTAATTTCTCCAATCAAATAGATTTTGTCGATTACAATCTCTATTGTCTTGATTTGACTTGAATTAACTTTAATCCAAGGGTCAACGTATTGATTTTAGATCAAACACTGTAATTTTCCAAGAACATAAAGAATACAAGTCCTTGGTCTTCGCCGCAAAGTCGATCTTGGATCTTTTCCATAATTCGGAGACTTGACAGTTTGTTTTCAGATTAAACGTCATTCTTGAGGAACACCTTCGAATCTTCATGAACCCTTGAATTTCGTCGAGAAAAATTAATATTTAGAGTTCTTGATCTTAAATTGAATTGTCTTTCTTTATTTTTAGAGAGAGTCCCTATTTATATTGTGGGAGAGAGAAGCCTATCGAATTTAAGAATAGCAAGACGCGACTTGATTGGTCCATGATAAAAGATAGAAAATATATGATTTCTTTACCAAGAAATAAATTTGACCTTTGACATTATTTGATTGATTGAGAATTTATATATTAAAATATTAATTAATTAACTATTTAAATTTAAAAACTATATTTATGAAAATTTTCTAAAATATAAATAGAAATATATAACTTAATTTTTAATATATTAATTTTCACATGGCGACATTTGTGTGGCCACAAATTTCTTTTATCTATAATAATATTTGGAGAAAATTAAAAAATCCAAAATTCCTAATTGCGCCTTAATTGATTGAATATCAACATATTCAAATGTCAGCGATGAGAATATTTGAGTTTTACACAGTAAAAATCAATGGAACTCCTAAGTTAGTTTTGTAAAAACATCAGCTGCAACCCTAATTATTTTAGTTTAATTTTTTCATTTGTTACATCATGTCGTCTCATCTTCTCCACATCAAATAACGAGCCGGACATATAACGCTCTGTTTGTCAACATCATTTAATTGCAAAATCGAAAAATTGTGTCTTTTACAGCCAAAATTGAAATCTTACACATTGCAAAGAAAGCCAAATTTGGAATTTGATTTGCAATTTAACTTATTTAATCCAATTTCTTTTTTCCTTTTATTTTCTTTTCTTTTTAGCAAAACAACGGGTAAATAAAAAAGACCGACGTCCAGCGCAAGGAGCTAAAACCAACCAATCAAAAAAACAAACAGATAAATAAATAAATAAATAAAACAATAAAATTATAAAAATTATGACACCATAATTAAATTAATCCCTGTTTTTTTCCTCTCTCTCTCACCTCCACTTTCTCTCTGGGTCGCACATTACCTTGCAGCTCCCCCCTTATAAAAATTTGCGCATTTCGTGGTGTGGCCATGAAATCAACACAGGAACAACATTCGAAAAGAATATGGCCGCCGATCACGACCAGCTGCCCGACAGCCGCATCTCCTGCCCGTACACCCCTCTTATTGATGCCCACGTCCCGCCGGAGGAGGCCACGGGCAGGCGCCGGAGGCGGCGGCGGACTTCCGCGGTGGTCCTCCTCCTCATGTCGGGGCTGCTGGGGGCCGCCCTGGTGTTCGGAAACGGAATTTTTAGGAGTGAAGGGATGAAGGGCTCGGGGCCGCTGGGGATGAGGCGGCGGCCGCCGGAGAAGGTGGTTCCGGCCGGCCGTGGGGTGGCGGAGGGGGTGTCGCGTAAGTCGTTTTTCGGCGGGCTGCGGGGACCGCGGCCGTATTCGTGGAGCGACTCGGCGTTGGCTTGGCAGAGAACCGCGTTTCATTTCCAGCCGGAAAGCAATTGGATGAACGGTAAATCTTATTTATTTATTTATTTTTTACCGTAGATCTTTTTTTGGTGGATACATATTTTACTGGACAACGGTTATGTCGTGCGTCAGAGTTTTTTTTCCTTTTTTCTTTTCAAGTGGATCTAATTCTTAAACGCAGTGCATAAAATAAAGATATATATGCCATTTGCATTATATATAAGTACGTTAATTAACATTATCTAATATGGTATGAAAAAAGTTAGAATATGTAACGAAAGATTGTATTATCATATAAATGTGGATCAATATATAGTTATATTGATTGCACTAGTAAATATAATTGATATTACAATAATATTTGATACGAAGACAACATTATTTCAACGTAGTAATATAATTAATTTGTATCATAAACAATTAAAACTACATCAAGATCTATATCTTTTTATTCCAACAATAAATACACGCATCAAATTCACATTTCACATCCATATAAACATTGTGAGCACAGGCTAATTAAGGAGCAATTAAATAACTAATAAGCGTTTGTTTTCTTTGTTTCTGGGCGTGGCGCTTTCCAATCCTTGCTGGCATTAATTGTTCCATCTCATAAAAATGGAAATCAGACCCTAATGGTAAGTCTACTAATTAATTACTCTGTAAATTGTCCTCTTTCTCCTTACATAAATAACCTTGGGTTCTATTCATAAATACAGGCCCTGTTTTCTACAACGGTTGGTACCATTTCTTCTACCAATACAACCCATACGACGCCGTCTGGGGCATAATCATGTGGGGCCACGCCGTCTCCAAAGACCTAATCCACTGGCGCCACCTCAGCATCGCCTTGTCCCCCGACCAATGGTACGACGTCAACGGCGTCTGGACGGGCTCCGCCACAATCCTCGAAAACGGCCAGCTCATCATGCTCTACACCGGCTCCACCAACGAGTCAGTCCAGGTCCAAAACCTCGCCTACCCGGCCGACCCGTCCGACCCGCTCCTAGTCAACTGGGTCAAATACCCGGGCAACCCGGTCCTCCTCCCCCCACCCAACACCGACCCCAAGGACTTCCGTGACCCCACCACCGCCTGGCTCACCCCGCACGGCAAGTGGCGCCTCACGATTGGCTCCAAAATCAACGACACGGGGATGTCCCTGGTGTACGACACGGAGGATTTCGTCTCCTTCGAGCTTCTGGAAGGCGTGTTGCACGCCGTCCCGGGCACGGGCATGTGGGAGTGCGTGGATTTTTACCCGGTCTCGAGGGTGGCCGAGAACGGGCTCGACACGTCCGAGAACGGCCCGGAGGTGAAGCACGCGGTCAAGACGAGCCTCGATGATGATCGAAATGACTATTATGCCCTCGGGAGTTACGACGCCGAGAACGGGACGTGGACACCCGACGATCCCAGTATTGATGTTGGGATCGGATTGAGGTACGATTACGGGATATTTTACGCGTCCAAGACTTTTTACGATCAGGAGAAGAAGAGAAGGGTTCTTTGGGGATGGATTAAGGAGACGGACAGTGAAGCCGCCGATTTACGAAAGGGCTGGGCTTCTCTTCAGGTAACGAGAAATTAGCTGTACATAGATTTTTAAGATTTGCTGGGATTTTTACAAAATTTCACAGAATTTCTCCAAAATCTGAAAATGTTAACGAGTATCAAAATATCACTTGAAATCCTAATTTTTCGGTTGATTAGATGCCTGAATGTTGATTTTTCGGAAAATGTGTAGGCAATTCCGAGGACAGTTGTACTCGATAGGAAAACCGGGAGCAACCTCATACTGTGGCCGGTTGAAGAAGTAGAGAGATTGAGACAGGACAAGAGGACTTACGATAAGATCGAGGCTAAACCTGGCTCGATCCTGTCGCTTGACGTCAGATACTCTTCTCAGGTAATTTGTGCGTGTTATACGGATTTTCGACTTTATCATAGGTTTAATTTACACTCCCTAAATGATTTTTGCAGCTAGATATTGTTGCCGAGTTTGAAGTAGATGAAGAGGCCTTGGAGAGAATAGAAGGCACCAATATGACTTACAGTTGCACCACCAGTGGTGGAGCTGCTCAGAGAGGGGCATTAGGACCGTTTGGTCTATTGGTACACGCGGATAAGGACCAAATTGAAAAGACTCCAATCTATTTCTATATCTCCAAGGACTTGCAAGGAAATTTAACGACCTTCTTTTGTGCCGATCATTCAAGGTTAAAATACACACACATATATATGTTGCAGTTGCTTGAGTGAATTAACTGACTAACCGCTTTTTGTAGGTCATCTGAAGCAACTGATGTGGACAAAGCAATCTACGGAAGTGTAGTGCCGGTACTGAAAGGCGAAAAACTATCCGTGAGGATACTAGTAAGTTAAAAAAA